GAGATGCAGAAGATCGGAGGAGGCGATGAGCACCGACGGGCAAGATGAGAGGCTGGACGGGATGGCGGCGAGGGCGGCGGGGAAGCAGAGTGGTGGGGAGAGGTCGCAAGGGACAAAGAAGGGATGAGGGTGGTTTTCATTCTTTTTTTTTGTTCCATAGAAAAAAAATACCGAAGTTTTCTTTCTGCCATTGCCTTATCCGTAACGATCACCCTTCATTGTCAAAGGCTTCTACTACTACAACCGACTACATTGACCCCGTACTACTGACTACTTGGTACTGTATCTCCCATTAGTACCAGCGCTGACTGCAACCATCGACTGCACCCCTACTTTACACTGAGAGGGACACAGACATGTAAGATCAGATGCTTTATATCTGAACTTGAAGAGTGCTTCACATGAAGTCTCCACCCTACCCCACTGCAGGCCCAAATCCCTAGCACCCCCAGTCAATGTTGACTCTTTTACCTGCTCTAATGGCCACCCCTCCTCTGATTTCGGAAGTCACCACCCTACCCCCCCCCTACCCCCCGCGGGTGACCTTCTTTACTACTGTGCGTGACTTGGTCTTTATAAGGACCGGAGGTTAAATCTGCTCTCCACAGCGTTCCTTCCATGGCAATGCTCGCCCTGCCCTCCACCGCTGCCGACGACTTCTCTTCTCTCCCCTTCTCTCCTCCTCCTCCTCTCTCTCTCCTCTTTGACTTTGCTGCCCCTCCAATCCAGCCCTGCTCCCGATGCGGTGGCCCTTGCTTCGACCTCCCTGACCGCTGCTGCGTCCTCTGCTCCGTCGACCTCGAGCCCTCCCAGCAGCCCTTCTGGCTCGACCCTCTACCCCCAGGTCCTCACCCCTGACACCGACGACTCCGCCTCCCTCAGCACCTCCGACAGCTACGACCACGAGGCCCAAGACAAGCCCCGCTGGGACGCCGACGCCCGCAGGACCCACAGCCAGGCCTGCACAGGCAAGAGCCGGCTGAGCGCGCAGGAGAGGCTTGACATCGTGTGCATGTACTACTCGGCGCCCTCGTCGACGAGTGCCGGAGGACGGTGCACCAGTGGGACATCGCGAGGATGTACGGGAAGAGCCGTGCGGCGATCAGCAAGGTGCTGAAGCCGGAGTACGCGAGGAGGGTGATGATGACGAAGGAGGGGGAGGAAGTGCCCAGAGAGGGGGCTGATACTGGAGAGCATCAGGAAGGAGGGGGAGAGAAGGACAAGGAACGCGACTGGGCTTCCAGCTTTGGAACAATGCTAGGTGTTTGCAGGATCAGCTTGATTCGTTGTTCTCTTTGAAATGTTCGTGTGTGCTTTTGAAACTGTATTAAAGAACAACCATGGGCTTAAAATCTCATGACCCTCTGGATTATTTCCATCAAGAATTTCCTTTCTTGCTCTCCGTCAATTCTTGAGCAGCAAACTTCTCTGGATAGCTCAAACCTATTCGCGACCCTCGACTGACTGTATTTGACTCCCACACGCTCAATCCAGAAAGAAGCATGTCTACAAGTGCTCCGTGGAGTTGGATGGGTCGTCGCATGGATCGTCCTCTGGCGTCGTTGATCAGGTAGATGACGCCATTGGTCTTGTCGCGTGAGAGCTCGCTGATGAATTCAGCATCTCAGCAATAGAGAATGTAGAGGAAGAATAGACTTATATTCTTATAATGTACTTATATTCTTCGAGTTGAACGTTCCCCCTCTGAGGTTCTCCGAGACTTTTCAGCACAAGCACTGGTGTGAAGCAGCTAACCCCGCAGTGCACAATGACATTGTGTGAAATGATTAAAGATTTTTGCTAATCTAGAAAACCTCTGTCTCGGAAT